ACAAATAAACAAATAAACAAATAAACAAATAAACAAATATTAAACTAGACATACCCAGTTCCTGCAACCGTTCTTCATATGTTTTAGTCTCCAGTCCCCTAATCATCTTTGTTGCTCTTCTCTGCACTCTTTCTAGAGTCTCCACATCTTTTCTACATCATGGTGACCAAAACTGAATGCAGTATTCCAAGTGTGGTCTTATCAAGGCATTACAAAGTGGTATTAACACTTCACGTGATCTTGATTCTATCCCTCTGTTTATGTTTCAAGTAGTCTGGAATCAGGATTCCTTTAATTTTATTTACATTTTTTTTAATCAGTGGAATTTTATTTGAAATATTATAAAAAGTAAAATTCTGCTCAATTTTTTATTTTACTGTCTTCATGAAAGAGTGATAGTATATTATCCCATTCAATTATTCTATTGTAGGAAAAGATCCTAATAAGTTAGCAGCCTTATATTTAAACATTTAGGAACTCAGAAAATGCATTCAGCTCAGTGCCCACAATCTTTTGAAGGCAAATGAACAGACTGAGAAACTAGGACTGAAATTTAGGTTTCTACACAAAGTTTCCAACACAAAAATTGATTGGACTGTTTCAGGAGGACAAAATCTCCTGAAACTCCAATTCTTATTTCCCAACCTTTGCCTAGTTGGTAATTGTCATTTTGTTTGTATGGCTGAGTTGCAGTAATGTTTACTTTATCAGTATTTTTACCCATGACCGGTTCCATGTAGTTAATAGTGATTTTGTTATTTATTTAAGGAGATGCAAATCTTCAGATTGCCAGTATTTCAGAAGAGTTAGCTAAGAAGACTGAAGATGCTGCCCGACAACAGGAAGAAATAACCCATCTTCTCTCTCAGATAGTGGATTTGCAGAAAAAGGCAAAAGCTGTAAGTTGGTGATATTTAGCCACAATATGATGCAATCTTTTTTATCCCTTACTTTTGAATAAAGTCCTTTAAATCTTGAAATAGAGAAATCATAAAATGATGACTATGTTATAATGCTTTTGCTGTTGATCCTTTTTCAGTGTACCGTGGAAAATGAAGAACTTGTCCAACATTTGGGAGCAGCTAAAGATGCCCAAAGGCAACTCACAGCTGAAGTGAGTAATAATCAGGATTTAAAAACAGGAAAATGGCTTTTGCCCATTACATTTTATTTTCATATCAGAACAATATTTTTTTTAAATTGTTTTATTAAATATTTTTACTTTTAAAAACAGAAACACACACACACACACACACACACACACACACAAAGAAAAACAAGACAAACATAACAATATAAAATAGTTATACAGCCTTCTGTATCGGCATTCATGTTTAGCCTTTGTAATTCTCCATTCTACGTTGCCTTCCTATCGATTTTAACTTCTGTAATAGTGTAAAAACAGTTGTACTAACACTTGTAATAATATTTATTGTTCATATCACTATTATATTTACATTATGGTCAATATTTTAAGTTTGATATTAATTAGTAACTTTGGTTAATTTTTATTCAATACTAGTTTAGAAAGAAACACACAAATATTCTATTTCCTGTTTTGGCCTCTGTTTTCTAGCCTCTTATAAATTCTATTCCATATTTAATAGAAATCTGATTCTTCTCTTTCTTTTAATTCCATTATAATTTTGTCCATCTCTGCACATTCCCTGCACATTATTGTTTCGTCTGTGGCAGTGGTGGGTTGCGTCCGGTATGCCCCTGTGCCTGTCGGGAGCAAAGGGAACTGTTCTGGTATGGTGTTCCGGGCTCACCCATCCACCTGCTGTCCTTACCTGTATTTGAGCTCTTTGGGGCTTCCGAGGACGGAGCATACTCCGCCAAGTAGCTGGAGTATCGTGTCATGGAGCATCGCAGACGGTAAGCACGAATGTGCACGCTGCGCGCATTCATGTGGGGGATGCCGGGTCCCGTTGCACCATACTGGTTGCAATGGGATCCGGAACCCTCCACTGGTCTGCGGGTATATTAATTTGTTTCCAGTTTTGTGCGAAGACAATTCTAGCTGCAGGGAGTATGCGTAGTATTATGTATTGAAATGTTTTGTCCATTTTGGGGTCTAATATTCCTAATAAGAATGATTCTGGTTTCAATTCTATCTTTTGTGCCGTAATTTCTTCCAGCCGTTTCTGAATTTTATACCAATATTTCCTTGTGATGCGTCATGTCCACCACATATGGTAGAATGTTCCAGACTTGGGGCTACAGCTCCAACATCTATAAAACATTTTATAACGGTTTTCTTTGTTGGCTACTGCCGTCATAAATTTATAATTTCTTTCCCATAGTTTGTCCCATTTTTCTAACTCTATATTGTGGCCAAAGTTTCTTGCCCAGCTAATCATTGCCTCCTTTACTGTCTCTTCCTCCATTTTATATCTTAAAAGAAAATTATATAATTTGGTAATCATTTTTCTTCCCTTTCCTAATAATATTTTGTCTAATTCCATTTGTTTCTCATGTATTCCATATTGTTCCCGATGTTTTTTAAACCTTGTTTTAATTTGTAAGTAAAGCCACCATTCCATATTTATTCCTTGTGTTTTCAGATCTTGTTCTGATTTTAGTTCTCCTTTTCATCTCCATCGCCGATAATCAGATTGGGATTTTCATATTTTCATTCTTTTTTATTTTTTCCCAGACCTTAAACAGGGCGTCTGTTACTATGTGTCTCTGGAAGTATGAATGAGATTTATTCTTTCCCTCCCAGAGGAAGCCATGCCAACCTAACTGGAGAACATGGCCTTCTAGCATAAGAATCCTTTTATTTTTTTAGTTGGATCCAGTCCTTGAGCTATGTCAGGGCTGCCTCCTGATAATAAAGCTCCCAATCTAGGAGGCCAAAGCCACCTTTGTTTCTACTATCTTGTAGAAGTTTGTATTTAACACACGGTTTTTTTCCTGACCAGATAAATTTGGATACCATTTTATTTAGTTGTTCAAAAAAAAAATTCTCTAATTTAATTGGTATTATTTGAAAAAGATAAAGTAGTTTGAGTAGTACATTCATTTTGATTGTGGAAATTCTGCCAATTAGTGATATCTGTAGTTTAGTCCAATTGTTCAGATCTTTTTGTATTTGTCATAGCAATTTATTGTAATTGTCTTCTTTTATTGTAATACATTTTGCCGATAACCATATTCCCAAGTATTTAATTTTCTTGGCTCTCGAAATTCCCAATTTTTGTTTTGTCTTTTGGTTTGATTCTTGGTTAATATTTTGGTTTTCTCTTTATTTATTTTAAGCCCTGCCACTTTACCAAATTGGTTTGTGTCTTGTAATAGTATTGGTCCAGTTTCTAGGAGTTCCTTTGATGAATGCTAGATCGTCTGCAAAGGCCTGCACTTTGTATTCCTGTGTTCTAATTTTCAATCCCTTTATGTCCTTGTTCTATCTAATTTGCAATATCAACATCTCTATTGAGAGGATAAATAACAGGGGGGATACAGGGCATACCTGTCTTACCCCTTTGGTTATGTTGAAACCTGTTGCTTCTCTGTTTAGTATAATTTTTGCCGTGTGGCTAGAATATACTGCTCTGATCATCCCAATAAATTTCTCTTCTCTCTGCTAATTGATTTATAAGAAAATCCCAATTCAAATTATCAAACGCTTTTTGTGCATCAATAAATATCAATCCTGCTTGTTTTTCTGAATATATCTCATAGTATTCTAATATGTTCATTATCATTCGTATGTTGTTTTTTATCTATCTATTGGCTAGAAATCCATTTTGGTCTGGGTGTATGATTTCATTTAGTATATTTTTAATTCTTTCTGCCATTATTTTCATAAATATTTTATAATCAGCATTTAGCAGCGAGATTGGCCTATAATTTTTAATCTCTTGTTTTTCAGTGTTGTTTTTGGAGATTAATGTTATTACTTCCTCCATCCAAGATTTTGGTATCTTAGCTCGTTCTAGTACTTCATTATACATTTCTAATAATATTTTCTCTGATTTTTGCAGTTCTTTATAAAATTCTGCTGGAATTCCATCCGGACCCATAGTTTTTTTGTTTTTTTTGTTTTTTGATTGCCCTTTTTAATTCTAGCCTCGTTATTCTCTCATTTAGTGTTTCCTTTGTTGTTTCTGGTAAGGTTGGAAGGTTCCTATTCTGTAAGTATCTTTTAATATCCTCCTCTTCTATTTTCTCTCAGCTTTACAGGATTTGAAAGTATCTTACTGCTATCCTCTCCCCACCCCCTTTTCTGGTGGTGTATCACCCCTTCTTCATCCTCTAATTGCTGTATTAATTTCTTTTCTTTTTTCTTTTTTTTAGTTTATAAGCCAGCCATTTCCCTGGTTTGTTGGCATTTTCAAAATAATTTTGTCTACTTCATTTAATTTTCTGGGCTACTTCTTCTTATGTAATTAAATTTAATCTATGTTTAGTTATTTCTTTTCCTTCTTTAACTTCCTGATTTTGAGGGTCTTTCTGCATTTTATATTCGAATTTCCCCAGTTACTCCTGGAGCTCTGTATATTGTTTCTTTTTAACTTTATTTCTTCGTATTGTGTATGCTATCACAATGCCCCGCACATAAGCTTTGGTTGTATCCCATAGGTTTTTAATGGTTGTCTGTTCATTCCAGTTTTCCTCTAGGAAAAATGCTAATTCTTTTTCCACATATTGAACATAGTTCTTTTCTTTCACAACCCTTTGATTCATGGTCCATCTCTTTTTCATTTTTGCCTCTCCTTTCCATTTGACTGTTAATGGATTATGGTCCGCCCACATGTTTGGTGTTATTTCTACTTCCTCTACATCCTTCTCCATTTCCGGGTCCATCCACACCATCTTGATCCTGGACCATGAATTATGGGAGTTTGAAAAGAATGTGTATTGACTCTTCTGTGTGTTGATTTCTCTCCAAACATTTTTCAGATTTAATTCTTGGACCATTTCAAAAAATGCATTTGGTAGTGTTTTCCTTTCATAATTTTTTAAAATCTGTTTTATAGTCTTTCTTTGGGTCAACCATTGTGTTAGTCCCCTAGTAAACATATATTGTCTAGTTCCAATTTTGCAATCCACTTATGTAATTTACTGTAATATTCTTTCTGGTTCATGTTTGGTGCATATATAACTGCAATTAGTACTCTTTTTTGTTTTATTGATATTTCAATTAATAGTGTTTTTCCCTATGCAGCATGGAGGAATACACAATTTGCCCCAGCTAGCTAAATAACCATTCTGCGTTTTGTATTACTTGTATGTATGTAGAAAGAGGAAGAAAAGACCACACCATCAACTTCTTGTCAAATGTTCATTTTGCCAATACAAAGGGCCACTGCTTTTGAAATGAATAATAGTTTTCAAGGAATGAATAATTGTCTTGGGAACCAACTACTTTATTGAGTTGATGTATATACTGCTTATCTATTTTTCTCCCATTGTTTAGCTATTGCACTTAGTAGTGCAGTACCACTAAAAATTTGCTTTCTGAACAAGCAGTAATTATGAAAAACATAATTATGTATTGTAGAGGATGAAGATAATAAGAATCATTTCATTTATTATGTTCTTGTAACAATATACCAAAAAATCAGTTCCTTATGTAGAAAAGAGAATTTTCAAATGAAAATTACTAAAACAAAAACAAAAACAAAATGAAGAATATTTGGGGGGAGAGGGGTTGTTTAATAACCTAATTTGCTTCTCAGCAAAATACAAAATTTTGCTACCCCAAAATATGAAAGGTCCTGAAAATAAGGCCATGCCACATTTTTCAGGTGAGCAAAAATATAAGCCCTTCCCCGAAAAAAAGCCCTCTGGACAACCCCCCCCTCCAGCCAGGCAAAGCGCCGCTCAACAACCTAGCGGTATCCTGAAGGTGCCAAGCCATGGAAACCGGGGGGGGGAGGTGTTCGCATTGCTTGGTGCCTTCTGGATACCACTATGTCAGTGAGTGGCACTGTGCCCAGCTGGAGAGGAGGGTTGCCAGGCAGCTGCTTTCTTTTGAGCAGGCTCCCGAAGAGCCGGGTACAGCCTCAGGGGTGAACGGCTGTGTTGCGCTGTTGCAGCAGCGCAACACAACAGCCATGAAGGGACCACACTCACAAACAGCCACCTGGCAAACCCCCTTTTCAGCCGGGCACAGCACTGAGCTAGGGGTATCACCAAGCTGCATGAGCTTGGTGCTTTCAGAATGCCAGTGAATGGTGCTCTGCACGGCTGGAGAGGGGGCCTGCATGAGCAGCTGTTTCGCTCCCTGCTTGCGCGCCTCCCCGCATCACGATGCCTTGGCCCAGCTCTCCCTGCAGAGCCAGGGCACCACCACTGCTGCCGCCACTGCCATCCCAGCATGGCTTTTTCTGCGGCTTCCAAACCATGGAAGTAGGCTGCCGAGACTTCCGGCAGTGGCCGCTCTGGGAGTACCTCTATGGTTGTGGGCCGTCTGCCCGACAGAACGTACTCCCAGAGCATACAACCATAGAGGATACTTCCAGAGTGGCCACTATTATTACATTTCCCTCTCATTGCCTTGTCTTGGGAGGAGGCTGTTTTTCTGAGTGGACTGCCACTTTTTATCCGACTCTTTAATTGTTTCTCTGGCTCTTTGCTCTTTTTCCTCTTCCTTATCCTGCATATGGGAGCTAACCAAGTCTGCTATAAGAACTTTAGTACATGAAGAAAAACAGCTAAGTCTTTTTTCAATGTCTCTAAATCGTGTTGTATGGCAATTAGTTGTTCGAATATTGAAACCACCATTTGCGCTGTGAGAAGGCATTGCTTTGCCATAAACTCTGTTGAATTTTCCCAAGGTAAACTCTCTATACTCTGAATTATCTGGTTGTTCTTTGCTTTTTTAGCCTTTAACTCAGACTCTATATAGGAAGTAATTGGACTAGTTGTTTGTGAGAACAGTTGGCTTTCACTTTGTCCCCCACTCCCCAGATCAGGAAAGTCTAGTAAGGGCTGTTTTCCCAAATCCTTTTGCAGGTCCCCTTCTAATCTCTCCAGATTGTTTGGAATTGGGGGAGGTTAGTTTTACTTACAGCTCTTGCCAACAAAGTGCTCCTCAATTCTTGGTTGTTTTGCTGTTTTCACTGGAGGGAGAGATCCCAGGCTGGTGCCATGGCGTTTCTTTCTTTTTCCCATGCCTTTTTAATCTTCGGCAGCAACAAAACCTTTTGTCTGTGTTATGGTCTACACTGTTATCTCCACACACAAGTGTTAATTAAATAAAAAGGATATAATGGGAATACTAAAAATTGATAAAATAAAATAAAACCGGGGAGCACTACTGCAAACATAGTCGAGCTGCAGCTCCGCCTTGAGCAAAAAAGTGTTATAATGCTCTTCAGCAGTATTACAGCAAGTGAACAAAGTTGCCAATCAAGAGATGAGAGGTCAGCAGCTATGAGATCATAATTAGCTTTTTTAAAGTTATAATTTGGAGTCCTATCATTACGATCCTCTTTGCAAGGATGTAAATTGAGGCAAAAGTCAATCATGCTGTGGTCACTGTTGGAAAAGGGTTCCTTTATTTGTAGACCATAAATTTAAACTGTTACAGAAGATGAGATCAAAGCCATTACTGATTCTAGTGTAGTTTGTTACTAGTTGCTCCAGTCCCAGAGCAGTAGTAATAGTGGTTTGTGCAAGAAGAATTCCTTGCATGCTGATAGCAAAGATAAAAGCATCAATAATTGAAATTTGTCAGCAACTGTTGTCGTGCTTATGAGAAGGAAGGTGAGAAATGTCTTCATAACATTGTGACAGCCAAAAAAACCATGGTCTCATTATTAAAACCAGATATGAAGCATCAATCCATGGAATAGGAAGCTTCACTACAAAATAAAATAAATAAAAAAACAAAGATTTGGCAGGAAAACTTTTAATTACAATTTTTGGAATGCAAATGGCTTGAGTCACATGAATTTTCTTGAACCTGGCACTTCAACGCAGAGTACTACATTGTAGCACTCTGAAAATATGAAATAATGAAATAATAATTAAGCAAAACTTAGCAGCACATTTTTTCCTACAACAGGCTTCATCTCCTACATTAGGCTTCATCTCTCATGAATCATTCAAGAAACAGTTGCAAAGTTGAATACTGTCATCTTACCTAATCAATACAGTGCAGCCTTAGTGCCTTGTGACTTCCACTTTTCCCCAAAATTAAATAAAAAATTTTATAGGCATCAATTTGACTGAAATGAAGAAGTGAAAAGGACTTTGAAGACCGGTTGAAAAAACAAAGTGTGGAGTTCTTTCATGACAGGTTTAAGAGGCTTTTCCTTTTGGGGCAGTAATGTGTATTTAATATGTGGAGAAGTAAATACAAACAGCAACTCATATCATATATTATGTACTTGTTTTATTTAATAAAATACCCATATTTAAACTAAAGTTATGGAGCTGGTGTGATTACTTTTGAGTATTTTTCATTACTTTCAAACCTTATAGGTATTAGGTTTGTTAAATATTAATACTGTAATTCAGAGAACAATAATACAGGGTTTTCTTTCTCCCATCTAAAATCCAAGGGAAAGAGATAATTATGTTTGTATCATTTCAGTAACAGTTTTAATATCCAATCATCCCAGATATATATTAAACAAAATATAAGTCTACAATAAATTGCATAATTCATCTGTTCAGAATATATTTTCCTTTTATAAAAAGTATTTTTCTTCATTTAAATAAAGACTACAGTGAAGAAAAACATTTTTAGTTAACATTTTTATTTTTTTCTTCATTGCAGTTACGAGAGCTGGAAGATAAATATGCAGAATGTATGGAAATGCTTCATGAGGCACAAGAAGAACTGAAGAATCTTAGGAATAAGACAGTGCCAAATGCTATATCACGCCGTTACCATTCATTAGGCCTTTTTCCAATGGTGAGAAGTCTCATATGAAATAGTCCTCAAAAATTCACTTTGCGCTAACACTTAATGTAACTTTGATTAATTGAAGTAAATAGTTTTAGGGTGTGTGTGTGTGTGTGTGTGTGTGTGTGTGTGTGTGTATGTATGTATATATCAGTGACGTGTGGTGAAGCTTATGGCTGGTGAGGCAAAAAGAAAGAAAGCAGCTTTTGCCCATCCCACAGCAGCTATGTCCGAAATAGAGGGGCCCCGCACTCTGCAGCTATGTCCGACCCAGCTGAGGGGCGCGGGACACCTCTATGTCAGACAGAAGCGGCCGGGCACTTTCTTTCGGCTTTTGCCCGCCCCGCAGGGTAAACACTTCCACCTTGCAGGCGCTGGAGCCACAGGCCACCAGGAGTACATCCTGCCCACAGAAGAGCGCCGGTTCCTGCCCAGGCTGGAGCAAGAGCCACAGAGGCAAAAGGCGAAGCGTGATGGGGGGTGTTCTAAGAGACCCCTCCCCTTTTGCGCTCCGCAAGCCAGGCCTGCAGCGGCAAGAGGCTCAGCTCCGTTTCTATCCCCCCCACTCCGCTCCAGAGAAGCTGGCCGTGGGCGAGACTCCACAGTCCCGGTTCTGTCTCCAAGCAGCCCCGGGAGGAAATGGGCCAGCCCCGCTTCCCTCCCCGGACTTTCCAGGATCGGAGGACACGCATTCAACTCCAAGCCCTGAGTGGCCAGCCTCTGCTCCTGCCTCTTTCTCCCAGAGCTCTGGCAGGCCCACCAAGGAGGAGCCCGGATGAGGCGGGAGCGAAAGCTGCCTTCTGCCCGGTCCGCTGCCTTCTCCCAGGCCCGCCCGGCCTCTTCCTTGCCCTCCGGGGGCTGGGCGGGCGTCGGGAGCAACCGGACCTCCCTCGGCCGGCGCTTCGGCTGCGGAGAAAGAGGCGCCCGCCGGGCCGAAAGTGGGCCCCGAGTCCAGCCCGGATCGGTGTCCAAGTCGCAGCACTCCAGCCTTCCAGCTCCCCCTTCCCCAGCCAGCCAGGCCACCCAGCCCATTCCTTCCCCAGCGCGGTGAGCTCTAGCGGGCTGGGCCTGGCCAAAGAAAGAAAGCACCAGCCCACCAGCAGAGGCGGGTAAAAGACCCGCCTCTGCTGGCGGGCTGTCCTTCTCTTCTCAAACAAGCTGCCCTCCCTGCCTCTCCCCCTTTCCTCTCTTCTCAAACAAACTCTCTCTCAAATTGAGAGAGAGTTTGTTTGAGTGAAGTAAACAAACAAACAAACACACACACACACAAACAAAAATTACTTACAATAAAATTAATTACTTACGTGTCACGGAGGATTTCAACTCTCCTCTTGTCTGCCATGATGAAAATGTAAAAAGAAAAAGGCAAGAGCTGCTGCTGCCAGAGCCTCCAATGGATGACTCTGCTTAACTGTTTAAAAAAGCCTCTTTAAAAAGTGCCCTCTGCAGGAGGAGGTGAGAGAATCACGTGCCTCCTTTGCATAAGGAATTTTTCACCTTTTAACCCTTGCTTAACTCTGCTCAAGTGATCATAAAGATAGTCTAAAGGAGGTACGTGGTTCTCCAGGTGCTGCTTGGAGAGTCCAAGTGTGGGTTAACATAGCCTTGGACTGAGTAATGATTTCTTGACCACGCCTCCCTTTGCCTCGCCATGTTCAGTTTAAAAACTCAGTCCACCCATAGGGACTGTTTTGGGAGTGCTCCAGTCCAAGGGTAGATAGACTGGGGTTTCTCAACCAAAAATTTGACCTCTCAAGCTGATTCCATCTTAAATATATCTCTAAATACTTCTCCAAGGCTGAAGAGCTGCATTTGAAGGCTTATTTATGCTGAGAAGGGCCGGGCCTTTCATTTCGCTGCCGCGGATCGCAAGTGGAGTGGCGCATGTGAGTTGCCCATCCAGCATCAGCTGGCAGGCGGAGAGATAGGGACGGGCAGATCCCTTGACGCTTATTGCTGTTTTCGCCAGTTTCTCAGCTTACGAGGTGTTCCTTGCTTCTGAGGCACTCCAGCTTATTCTGCCTGGCAACAGCGGCAGCCATTTTGGCAGTTTTGCGCGGTTTCGCCTCATTGGATGCCTGGTTGGCATGCGGCGGATGCGTGCACAGTGGGGGCCATTTTGAATTACCCTTTCGCCGTGTGGGCTCATTTCAACCTGCGAGCCACCTCGTCAGGCAGCGGTTGCGATTCGGCGCGAACAGAGCCAGGAGAGCGCAAATTGCCCAGAGCTACCCCTCAGCTGCAAATACCTACAGGAAGCGTGGTCCTAGTCCGGGGCGCCAGCTAGGCCTGCCCTTTACCCTCTACAAGGCCGCGACATTGGAGTGTGGTGGGGAGGAGGATTCTGACCTCTCGGCGGCCCTTCCTCCCTTGAAGAGTCTACGGACACGCTTGAGCCACCAGGCCAACGTCAGGTGCCCTAGTACTACGCACAGCGTGTCAGCCATCTAATTCAGTTGGCAGGCAACCGAGGCCGCAACATCGTGACCTCTTGCTCCGGTTTGCAGGGCAGCATGGCTGATGACTGTGTGAGGCCTCTGGAGGAGCAGACAGGGTCCTCCAGCAAGTGTAGTAGAGTTGATCCTAACCCTATTGGGGGGAAAGGTGGTAAGGGTGCCCGTAAGAAGCCCTCCCCGAGTCCCTCTGAACCCAGTGATAAAGGCAAGCAGGGCCCTCGCCACCATAAACAGGCGGAGGGCTCAGGACTTCAGCTCCAAGGGAGGCCTCCCT